TAAAGGTCACACGTCTTACCTAATCAGACACGCTCCATGTCATCACCAGGCTTCCTTGTCCAGGTATTTCCGCCTTGGGAGATTATGTTGATAACTCGAGCTTATAATAATAATACAGGTAACAATCCAGGTAACACTTATAATTTGACGAGTTGATATCTGACAGGTGATTGGTCCGCTTCATGACTAACCAGGATGTGTTGAAAGTAATTCATTATTCTTACGAGATGGTGTGTAGTCAGCAGCAGCTCTCAGGTGTTTAATGAGATGCGAGGAAGACTTCAGGTGTTTAATGAGATGTGAGGAAGACTTCAGGTGTTTAATGAGATGTGAGGAAGACTTCAGGTGTTTAATGAGATGAGGAAGACTTCAGGTGTTTAATGGGATGAGGAAGACTTCAGGTGTTTAATGGGATGAGGAAGGCTTCAGGTGTTTAATGAGATGCGAGGAAGACTTCAGGTGTTTAATGAGATGAGGAAGACTTCAGGTGTTTAATGAGATGCTAGGAAGACTTCAGGTGTTTAATGGGATGAGGAAGGCTTCAGAAGATTTCAGGTTTAATGAGATGAGGAAGACTTCAGGTGTTTAATGAGATGAGGAAGACTTCAGGTGTTTAATGAGATGAGGAAGACTTCAGGTGTTTAATGAGATGTGAGGAAGACTTCAGGTGTTTAATGAGATGAGGAAGACTTCAGGTGTTTAATGAGATGTGAGGAAGACCTCAGGTGTTTAATGGGGTGTGAGGAAGACTTCAGGTTTTTGATGAGATGTGAGGAAGATTTCAGGTGTTTAATGAGATGAGGAAGATTCCAGGTGTGTAGATATGTAAACAAGCCATCAGGTGTTACAGAAATGAATGTTGTCAGGTACAGGAGTCGGAGAGTTGGTTCAGCGGAGTGACTAAAAATTGAATTTAAGTTACGTCATTCTGTTGTGAGTAACAGCGGCAACTGAAGTGATTATGGAGTGATGAGGCGGTTTGTTTACACCTTGGCTTAGTCCTGAAGGTTAAACTATCGTCGTGTTATCTCTTGGTTAGGTTGGGTTGGTTAGGTTAGGTTATATCTTCCAAAACGTATATTGTCCCATATCGTAACGTTATCCCTGGCTATATGAAGTGGTTAATGTTACGATATATATGCTTAACTCCCTGGAATTGGTTAATGTACCTACAGTATATCATAACGTTATTGTGTGCTTTAAGATCTTACCTATAGTAGAAAGGCACAAGTTAGCAGTTTGCACACTATCACCTGTGAGTCGGCAGAAACACGTCCATGGAGCGTGTGTCAACAGGTGACGTCAGTGCATGGCTTAGGTGGTCACGCCCGGGGGAGACTGGCGGCCTTGAGTCGCCCAGTTGCCATTTTTCTTGTTAGCGATTATCGCGCCTCACCTACTTCTTGGGTGACCTTTAGCGGTGTGTGTGGAGACTGAGACTCACGCTCCAGGATCTACAGCAGACTCGGGCAGCACTTCTCCTCAAGCCTCTTCGTGACGCGTGAGTTGGTTGACGGTCACCTCACTAGGATTGTCGGAAGTAGCGCGGCATTGTTTATGGTTCACGGCATAAAAGTTGGTTCAGGATGCGGTCGTGGGGTTTACGGTAGTCTAGGCATGGGGTAGAAAGTAGAAGAAAGAGAAAACTTAGAGTGAAAATGGTAAATAAAAGTGGATAAAGATAACGTAAATAGGTGATGAATGTGAAAAAAAAATGAAGCGCTGTTGACGAATAGCGTTTTTACATTGTCTGAATGAATGAAGAACAGTGAGGGTTTATTTTATTATGAAAGTACTTACAGAAATGTGGTATGATTTAATAAAGATGTATACTTCGTGTTCATATCTTAATACCTTTGACAGGAAGAGCGCTATAGGCTACTGTTATAGTGATGTAAACAGTTTAGTACAGGTATTAGCGGTAGTGACATCGTGGTGGATATGGTTACAATGGTTCAGGAATTGTTATGAGTATTGTGCAGTTATGTCTGTCTATTCTTCGTCCAAATAATAACAAAACGGGAGCCTGTCGGCCCTTCACCATCGTGCCAGTTTCCAGTGGGTTGTCACTAAGACTCGCGCAAGTCCCGGATTTTGTTTACACAACAAGTGGACGTCATAGTTTTGGTGTCCGTCACGCGTGGTTGTATCTAAAGCTGTAAATTGCCTTTGAAAATACAAAATAAAATAAAAGTAAGTTATAAAAACAAAAATAAGAGCTAAGTAGACTTGCCTTCCTGTTTGATGGCTTCACGTCCCGTTGACCGAGAAAAATGCTGTTTTTACGGTTGTCGTCACAAAGAAGTTTTGTCAATAGTGATGTTTTTTCAGTTACGTTGAGTTAGTGTGATTGATGACGGGCGGCCAGGTGTGGAGGGCGGAGGTAGTGTGGCGTGGTGCTGCTGGCTCCTCCCACCCCCTCTCACCCCTCTCTCACCCTCACCCCCCACCCCCCACCTTGGCCTCCGTCATGAGATACGTCCAATAAATATGACAGTTGCTCGAACCAATAAATATTTCCGAAAAAGTTTATAAGCTTCAGTCTTCTGGGAGTTAATGCATTTTTAGGTGAAAACGTGTAGATGTTTTTATTTGTTAGGAGAATAATTGGATAAAAGGCATTGCTGTTTTTATTAAGAGAAAGGAGGAATTATGTTTAAAATTAGATTTTAAACGTAAACAGATGGTGACAGTCTGAGTTGGCGGTGTGTAGGAGGTTGGTCTGGGGGTACCGCTCCCCTGCTGTGTCCGTCAGGTGATAGTCCAGCGTCTCCTGCCTCACCAGCCTCGTCGTCATTTTCACTGTCATTACTGTTATTAGCAACAGCGGACGTCACCACAGAACGTTCTCCAAACCCAATTTAAAAATATCTATGACCTGTGTCTTATGAAGATGCTTTGGAGTTGCTGTGAGATAGTGGTAGTGATGATGAGGGCTTTGGTGGTGATAGCTCGGGTTAACGGTAGAAATGATGGACGGGGAATTAAGGTGGTGGTGAAGGGAAGGGTTGTGGTGGTGATGGTGATAAATCGGGTTAGCGGTAATGGTGGTGGAAGGTAGTGATAGTGATGTAGATGATGGGAATGAGTCGGTGATGGGAGGGAAAGGTTGTGATTTGTGACGTGAGCATGATGATGATGATGATTGTTGTGATAGTGACTAAAGATGCTTTTGTAGTAGTGGCGGTGGAGAGAGATGTTACTATACTGATCGGAGCATGAGTGTGATGTAGGGGAAAGCAATGATAGCGCCACGGTGTACTGAAGGAGACTGTAGTGATGTGGGAGGGAGTGTTTGTGGTAGACGAGGCTGGTGGGTTGTGGGTCCAAGAGGATGCCATTGGATAGGAGAAGAAAGGGGATAGGTGGTGTCTGGAAAGAAGTGTGAAACTGGTGTCTGTCAGTCTGTCTTGTGTAGAGGAAGAGGGGGGTGTGGTATGATATGTCTTAAGAAGAAGAGAGGGACGTTTAGGCAATGGACACAAGTGAGAGTCGTATGTAACTCTTGCATGGGGAAGGGGGGGAGGCATGAGTGGTGTTGGGGAAATTGTGGGGTTTCTTCGGGAGCCTTGAGTGGAGGAGGAGGACATGTTGGAGAGGTGGAGGTGTGGGAGTTGCAACATTAGTCTGTGTGTGTGGGGGGCTAATTGTGGTAATTTTTGGGGAAAAGTAGGGGGGTGGAGGGAGGTATGTTGTCTTCAAAGATGGCTGCAGCTGGCCACGACACCACTTCCTGTGTGTGTATATATATATATATATATATATATATATATATATATATATATATATATATATATATATATATATATATATATATGTGTGTGTGTGTGTGACTGTATGTGTATAGTCTCGCTGTCAGGAACATTCACTGACCAGGTGTTCCTCAGTACTGGCTGGTCACACTCTGCTTCCTCATATAAAGGGATTTTAAAACAACTCTACATCTGCGAGTAGGAGTAGCTAGTGGGTAATTTTTACAGCCTGATAAACGAGATCTGTTGTAAGATTCATTGTGTGTGTGGGACCAACTCACGTTGTTATGTTGGGAAAGAACTGCAGCTTGTGAAACCCTTGTGGCGGCGATGGACTGCCGAACACCCAGAAGGTTGTCCCGTCATCAGGCGTGTCCACAGTGTTGGGAGATGTGTCGCCCTTCAAGAGTTTAGTAGATAGGTGGATGGATCGTTGGGTGGGTAGGTAGATGTGTAGGTCGATAGGTAGATGTGTAGGCATAGATAGTTAGGTATATCTAGATAAGTAGATATGTGGGTACTGATAGATAGGTATATATAGATAGATAGGTCAGTAGTTGTTACATTAGGTAAGGAATTAAGTTAATTATTGTATATATATATATTCATTAAAAAAAAGATTGCGGCAACATAGATTCTTATAAGATATGGTTTATTATTATAAATATTGTGTACTGTATATACTGTACTAACTGTAATGTGATGTGTTCTTATTTAATGTTTTATGCTACCCTAAGTTCTTCCAATACATTACAGAACTGTAATATCACTTCAGGTGCTTATTTTAAAGAACTGTACTCATAGTCTCATTTATACCGTGGTACAGTATTAATATTTTCATGTTAATAATTCATATTTGCCAGTGTGTTTGTTTGTACATACGTGTGCACATGCTGAATTCATTTATATACAGTACCTGTACTGTATATTTGCTTTCTGTGTAAGTAATTGTGGAAGGAAATTATATGTTAAACACTGCAGTGAAAGTCTGTATGGTGCCTCCACAGGAAACCAACTTCCAGAACTCTATTTGTATCAGAATACAACAAAATTTCCTTATACAATATAGTGTATACTGTATTTTTTAGTGTATTCCTCATATACACACTTGCCTAATCCCCAAAATATTCCAGTTCTAAAATTTTTGGCTGTAATAGACATTTAATTATTTTTTTTTCATGTACAAGTACAGTAACTTCCCCTGAACCATGTTATAGCACAATTCTTACAATCTATTAACTCTTGCAGGAGGAGCAATGACCGTGAGGAAGCCCGAAGGTCCTGGGGCCCTGCAGATAAAGAAGAGGGCAACAGGGACTTCTGGGCCTCCATCCAGGAACCCTATGACTTTATAATGGGTAGCAACCTCATCCCAGACTCATGTCAGGTACAGCAACATGTTTTTGTGACCAGGGATAAATGTTTCATCAATGAGTAGAAATAAGTGGAGAGGCAGAGGTTGAAGATAAGATTAAAGGATAAAGAGGGGAAGTAGGTAGGGCATCTATGGGTAGACAGACAGACAAGTTATCCACAGGTGCTAATTTATATTGTGTTAAGTATATTATCAAGAAGGCTGAGACTCAAATGGGCAGTACACTGTAATTCTGTAACCTCCTTGTTTTGTTTAAGTGGTGAATACAGTACAGTAATATTAAATTATTGTCACCATTGATGTGCCATTTCTTCTAGCTTTTTGTGCAGTTGTCATTATTCCTCGGTGTTCAGTATTAATGAGCATGAAGGTAGTAGGCATTATTAACCAATATATTTCTGGCCTGTGTCACTCATCAGTACTTTGTCTTTCAGGTTGGTGAGACAACTGAAGCTCCGTCATCAGGAGAGTTTGAATTGAGCTGGGACAGTGGAGACGTATCACCACCTTACGTTTGGAGTTTTTCAGAGTTTCTTGATCAGTATAATGAGTTATATGAGTGGCTTATTCAAGTTCAGCTGAAGCTATATTCACATTCAAATCCACCAGACAAAGCAGCAAGGATGGTGAGGATTTTATAGTTATATCTGCAGTGTTTAGAGACGACTTTGGAATACTGGATATTATTTACGAGTTGTGTCGGCCATCGCCATTTTGTCTTGGTGTTATTGATGGCTTTTTTTTTTAGATCTTTTGAATGATTTGGTTGTCAAGATTATATTCTGTCCTGCCTTTGTTGTGAATGCACCATTGCTTTCTCTGTGTTTGATTGTTTTGATTGGTCGACCTACAAAGTCTCACACTGGACCGAGTTAAATGGTTCTACTGTAGTACAGAAGTGAATATTGTGTGTTGGGGCATTTAGATTTGGATGAGCAATTAGGAAAAATTTCATGAGGTAATTTATTATTATTATTATTATGATTATTATTATCATTATTGTTACTGGTCAGAATGGAGGTTTGGGCTCCCTCCTTACACACTATAGGTATTTTAAAATGCACTAAAAGGAGTAAACTGTCAGGTGTGCTTTTCAGTGGTGGAACAACCCTTAAGTGGATGAGCATCCTTGCAAGGAGATTAGGTAACCCACAGTACAGTACCTGCAGACTGGTGTGAATTATAGCATCAGAGCATCAGCATTATTCTGGCCTTTCTAGATCATATTAGGAAAAGTCTTGTGTGCAATAGAAAATTTTTTATGGATATTATATTTCCTGAAAACAAATTGAAGTAGAATAGAGTTTTCATGGAAGGTATTGACTGAAAAAAAAAATATTTTTTACTGTGAAAGTAAAACATTAGAAACTATTGTACGTGTGGCTGAACTTTTATCATTATGTATCATAAAGAGTTATTTAAGGGAAATTCTTCTTGTAAACTGAATTGAGTCTAGTTAAATTTATTGGTACAAAGAAAAATAAATCATGTTCTTATGGAATCTGAAATATGATGAGCAGGAAGAGTCATATTGTGGTAAAAAAAGAAAGTGCAGTAATAAGAATGAATAAAGGCAGAGTGTGTGTGTGTACTTGTTGAGAGTTTTCTTATTTTATTTTAAGATAAATCATTGTAAAAGGTAATTCCTTATTACATTATGTCAATTATAACACTTGTCAATAATTTGTAGCTTATGGTTACCTGAACTTTGTAGGCCCAGCAGGAGGAGTTGCGTCGTCGCACATACCGGAGAAAATTATTTGTGGAGCAAGGTGAACGCGTGGCCCAGAGATACCCAGGCTCGGCGGAGGAAATTAGCTGGAGGGTGAACTACCTTAACAACAAGTGGGATCAGTTGGAAAGCTCCTTGACTCCTGCTAAGGGTCGGAATCAAGAAGTAGAGGTTGAGTTAGGTATGTAGGTACACTAATTATCTGTCTGTGTGTTTGTTTTCCTTTTAGTCCCTTGAGTACGGCATTGCCTTTGAGCTGAATAAAATCGTCTGGTGTTTACCTTATTAAATATTAAAAGTAGCGTCCCCATAGTGAAGCGGTAAAGTGCCATTTCCTACAGTCTCCATTAATTTAGTCATTTGGTCAGAAATAATTTAATTACATGTATTTACTGTACACTAAATTAGAGTTTTTTTGAGGAGTTTGGATCACAATAACATATTCTCACCTACCAATTTTCACCTCAGAGATTTACTAATGTTATAAAGCTTGTTCATTCTTCACATCCAAGAGTTCTTCCTCGCATGTTGAATCAGACAGATGTAGATTCAGGAAAATTTTTAAGATTATATTTTCTCATCTATATATTTGACAATTCAGAATGTTTCATCACTCAAAACATTTTAAGAATGTCATTTAATCTTTCTCCGAGTTTGTGGTTCCATCAATATCATGAATCCAGCACAGCATTTATGTTCATATTTATTTGAATGACTATCTTATTTTATCTCAACAAAGGTGCATGTTTGGCAATTTTTACCATTAGTCATGAGAATTTTTTTACATGTATTTTATCATCCGCTGGAAGTATACTGTACTGTATGTCTGTATATTGTATAGCCTTCCGCCCAATAAGGTATTCCACTAATATCTCTTAAAAATTTGCAAGTATTGGTATTGCAAATTATAGTCAATACTGTACTGTACCTGATTATTTGGGTAATGGCATCCATATTAAGATTTATAGTAGTGTAATGCTTCTACCATCCCTTCAGAATAATCAGTCCGTTAATAGAGATAATGAGTGTCTGAATTCCTCACCTCTGCCAGCCTCTTATTGTCAACTCTTACACAAATGACTACTTGGTATCTTTTTGCTTGTTACAGTAGCAGGAAATATTTAAGCATTTTGGTGATCTCTATTTTGTATAATCTATCCATCTGTTGGTCAGTTCAGCTGCCTTCCTTACTCATTGTATCAGTTGTACTTCATCCAAGATAAACTAAGTGGGACTGGGTACACACAAAAAAGCATTAATTCATCTATAATTTTATTATATTGACGAAAGTAGTCAAGTTGTCCACAGTGAGTAACTCCTTCTTGACTACAGTACTCACTTATCATATATGCTTATTAGTGAGACTCTCAACTACATACTGTCATTTTTCTTCATTATAGGTGATTTGCATTACTGTAGGATGATGCCAGTAACTCCTCAGGTACAGTCCACTGACACTGGTAGATCTTTAGTACTCGAAGTGTCAGACTCCGTTTATATACAGTACAGTGCATCTTTCTCTCCCTCTATAGTGTCTTGTATCTTCAATCACCAATCCTTCTTCAAATAGTTATTTGTATCATTGCCTAAACAGTTCACCTCTACACCTTTTACTCTGTATTTTTCATTATTCCTATTATACTACTGAGGTTAATTTTTGCCACAGTCATTGTTCATAGATTTATACTGTAAAGTGAAGAGATTGATAGCCATATAAAAGTTAAAAATAAGTACTCTGTTCAGGCTTCTTGCGAGTTGCACATTTTAACTAGAGTACTTCTCAATCATCAACTCTAAGGTGGTACGCTTGGGTAGTCTTGTTTACTATATTCTGTTCTTAGTTCTTCTCTCCTGTTGGCAATCTTGTTAAACATTACCCAATATCTTAATTGATTGAACATTTTGATTTCTTTCCCTTCCAAGATGATAATAGACTACCTCACTCTTACATATACCAAAACATGATTCTTATATATTGTACCTTTATTTTGAACAACTTATAAAAAGCTCCAGTTGTATTCGGGATTGCAATGTGTTTTCCCCTGATGAAAAACATGCAGGAAACATGAAAAGTGCAATGGCACAAATATATGTATGACTTTTAGCTCTGCATAAATGAAGTTGCATAGTAAAACGTAAACTGTAACTACAAACTCACTTTTTGCAGAACCAGCATACACATGGAAGACCTGTACTGTAGTCTGATTTTTCTCTGACTTTGTTTTTCAGACCTGGCACATGAAGAAGGTATTCTCCGGCGTTGGTTGAGTGACATGGAAGACCAGATCCAGCCCCTGACTTGCCGTCTGCCTCGTGGTTGTTCTCTTCTTACTCTTCAGGACCGTTACAAGGATAATCAGGTGAGCATTTATTATTGTCTGGATTAGAAATTCTCAGGAGGATATTAGAAGAAGTTTGTGTGTGGCTTATGGTATATGGATTTGGAAAAGCTTGTGATAAAGTTGATAGAATACCAGTGTGGGAAGTATTAATAATATATGAGGTAACTGCAAGATCATTGAATGCTCTTCAGTTCTTATAGAGAAAGTGTAGCATGCGTCAGGAAGCAATAAAGTGGTTTCTGGTAAAGGTAGGACTAAGTCAAGGATGTGTAGTGTTACAGTTGTCCAGCATTTTTCTGAGTGGGATAGAAAGAGGAATAACAGCAAGAAAAATTGAGAAGTGGCAAATTGGATTGTTTGGGATGAGAGCATTCGAACTGTTGTGATGATTGAATGACAATAAAGGGTGAGTGTTTATTCTTAACTATGTGTGCTTTGCATTATGGTAAGAATAAGCTTGAGGAAGATAGAGATAGAAGTGACATAAATAATGTGCTCACTTGGGGTCAATAGGATGGAAAGAATAAGAAGGATGTAAATAAGGTGAAATGGACACGAAAGGAGTGTCAAGAGCTGACCAGGATTTACTCTGTTGGCAGGGAAGCTTTGAGAGAATGTGAAGTGAGGGATTGATTAAGAGAGTGTTTAAGTAAGTGGGATGCTGGAGGTATTAGATTAGAAGAGAGAGAGAGCAGGGCTGTTGATGCATAATCAGAGTACTGTACTATGTTGGATTGATTGAGTGACAGGGAAAGGTCAGTTAGAAATTTCTAGCCTTTCAGAAGGGAAATAGAATATTGAAACATGTGTTACAGCATCTAGACTAAATGAATGACAGAGAATGAGAGCAAATCTTCATTGCTCTCAGTTCTATTTGATTTTGTGCTTCTCATTGGGGGTACTTGTGTTTGTTTGGTATTCATTAGGTTACTATCACCTGTTCATTTTTGTTGGTGTTCCTCTGTTATGTACCATCCATTAGATAACTGTCACTTCTACAGCAAGATTGAAATGTGTACGGTAAGTTTATAAAGTGTGACAGAAACTGTTTTTTTTTCCTAAGAACTTGATGGAATCCTCAGATGAGTTTTTGTTGCAGAACAATGATTCTCAGACACTTCGAGTACAGTGTTTATAGCTCCAGCAAAAATGAAAGTGCCACAAACTGCCATCTAACAAATAAAGTGAGAGTTGGAAAAGTTATCATAAAAACTGATTCTTCAGGGAGAGAAGAAAACAAAATTGTCAAAATTCTTTTGTGGTCGTATTGTCTTCTTTTTAATTATTGTAAGATATCAAGTACTGTATTTGTCATCATCATCGCTGTTTTATGGCCAATTTCAACACTTGGTGGGTTGGCTGTGATTACCTGACGGAAGTTTTGCTCGCTGTATGATCTCATGAGACCATTTCTTATGATTTTCCCCATGATATTCTTGGCCTACCCTTAGCTCTTCTCACCTCCACATTAAAACCAAAGCATCTCTTGACCTTCTTCTCTTCACCTGCCTGAATTATCTCCGCCTACCTCTATGTAAAACCTGGCCAATACTCTCAATACCCAGCCACCCTCTTAACTCTGAGCTGGGTATCCAATCTTACAAAGACACATTACACATCCAGCTAACTGTTGTTATTTCACTTTGATCAAGCCTCCACATACAGTGCACTTAGGCTTATCCTGCAGTTTGTGATTTACTTCATTGCACCTCTTGTGTACCCACCTTCCACACTCATTGCACTCACAGCACATGATCATATTTCACCCCACTAATTAATTATTGCCTTTGTCTTTGCCACATTCACTTTCAAATTCTTAAGAGTCTGTTTTATCCTTTTAATTCTTAAATTTATCCACTATAGCTTCCTTTATTCTTAAGTTCTAAAGTTCAAAGTTATGAGCACACAATAACTCCCAGGTCAAATCCGTCCTAAAGTCTTATGATGGTGCCTTTACCTCCACGAGTCACCCGGAACATCCCACAGCACTCCTCGATAAAGATGACCAAAATATAAGGTTACTTTATCCTTGTGGGCAATTTGTTCCACCTGCTGTGATTAATTAAGCCCACCAACTCTAATTAATGAGGACTAGATGCTGGGAGAGGCTGTGGGATGTCGAGATAATGGAGTTACCAGCATGACACACACTGATATTTGAATTAGGGAAGGTAGAGAATACATGTTAATTATCTTGTGTCTCTTGAGTCTCACATAGCTTGATGAGAAGGAGGATATGAGTGTTGCTGATGTACGACTCTGTTGGGTTAGGTTGATTTAGTGCGGATGGCAGGTTGTATCATTTTCTCTCTTATCCTTCTCTTCTTCCCAAACCCCTTTTGGGTCGTCTCCCCAGTTCACCTTTCCTTCTTTTCATCTTGTTATACTCGTAATTTGTCTTGTACAGAGTACTTGCATATTATTATCTTCTATCTCTCCGCTCCTCTTTCTTTTCTTCCTTCACTCCCTCCCTCCCTCCTTTCACTCTCCTAACTCACTCCCCCTCCTTAACTCACTCCCCCCTCCTTAACTCCCTCCCCCTCCTTCACTTCAACTCCTCCCTCCTCCCTCCCCTCCCTCCCCCTCCTTCACTCCCTCTTTACCCTCCCGCCCTTCCTTCCTTCCTTCCGGTGTTCCCTCCCTCCCTGGCCACTCAGCTATGTGTTGGGTGCGGCACGTGTTTGATCTCCCCGGCCACGTGCCACATGACGACTCCCCTCACTCCCCTCTTCCCTCCATTCCCCCTCCCTCCCTCCCTCACCCGATATTACCAAAGTTTACCCTAATAAAGTGAGCTACATCTGCCCTCCTATAGATTTCAGATCCTCTAGAAATTGTTGATCGTGTCTTGACAAAATCATTATGTAATAGGTTTGACAAGAAGTTAAAATAAATACACAAGCTTCAAATAAAATCGATATTAAAATGTTTTATGGAATTAATATAATAGAAAACGTAAGATTTTTGGGGGGAACTACACTTTATCGTTAATCAAAGGTTTAAATTCCCTTTGAACCTTTAAATTCCACCTCTCGAGTTTAAAATGGCTTAGAATCCCGTTTCAAAACAAACTACTCTGGTTTTGTTTGTTCATTTGTCTTATAACTCCCTCTGGTTACTCGTTGTCAACTAGATATATTTTCCATGGCCAAAAACATGAAAGAATTCGTCCACATTAAAATCTTTTGTTTTTAATTTCTCTCGTGAACTGGGCAACAAGCGTCTAGGTATTGCCCATGCGTACACTGTAATGACTGGGTTTGTGCGTATATATATTAGATAAGTGCGTAGTTACATGGTTTATGAATACTTTACACAACCGTATCTTGAGTAAACGTTGACTTGGATTCTCTGCAAACAATCAGTCATACACTCCATACTTGTACCTTCATACACTCGGTTAAAGCCCATCGGTGGTTATTTAATTCACTTTCATACGAGTATACATTCATACACGTCCGTATAGTAATCAATAAAACACACACACACACACACACACACACACACTCAGGGTATATACATTCACAAACATTTAAAAAAAAAGATATCCGAAATAACTTGGAAACATTAAAGAGAAAATGAACGTGAAAACTCCAATACGGTCACTGTGAAATGTAGGAAATGTAGCGTGTTGCGTTTTTTCCTGGCCTGACTTATCACTCGGCTGTGGAAAATAACCTGCATGTTTCCTTCAGGCAAATATTAATGAATTTACGATCGATGTACTGTGCTTACCTTATTGTACTTGCACGTTTAGAAATATTAACCCTGAGGTGATTACTCATGTGACAACCGTATGGGCGCTACTCCTGTGTGACACTACCCACCGTGTGACAGTCCCTTGAACGAGAACCTTATGACACTACCATTGTATTTCCAACCCACGTTTAAATATCTCTCTCTCTCTCTCTCTCTCTCTCTCTCTCTCTCTCTCTCTCTCTCATTACACTAATCTCCCCCCCCCAACGTCCCAGCTTAGTACATAATTAGTTTTAATTATAACAAGGAAATAATTACCATAGGGAAGGGAGTTGCCAATTAGGTATTATTATCAGTACGTGCTGGGTGACTAATGGCCTGTGTATGTATCTTGTGTGTACGTTTATCTGTGTTGTGTATGAGTTTTTAAGTGTGTGTGTGTGTGTGTATTGATGTATGAGTGTTTGTATAGTTGTGTGCGTCTGTAACCAAATCTAACCAAACCAAACCTAACCAAACTGAGTCTTATCATAACCTAACCACAACCTAACCACGTCCATTTTAGATGAGTGATAACCTAACCTAACCACAAACGTAAAGTGATGGGATTTTTTCTGCTGGAGAGAGGAGTGGGAGGGAAGGTTTGTTTGTTTACTTCTGTTAGCGCGTCTCTCTGTAGTAGTCATCACCCTTCGTCAGATGGTTAAGATTCCTTCTACTGTACCAATAAGCTACACCCCCCCCCCTCCTAATGCTGACCGTGTACACCTCTTCAGACTCAGGGTTACAATACCTCTGTTTATATGCAGGACGAATTAAATTTTATTCATTTACTATGTACAGTATTTATTATTTTTATTTTATTAATTTATTATTTATTTATTTATTATTTTTATTTGTTTATTTATTTATTATTTTTGGCGTGAAAATTATGGTGGTGTATACGTTGTCGTTCAGGTAGAGAGGGAAATACTATCACAGGTACAAATACAGGTACAGTGATGAGTACAGGTGCAAGGACAGGTATTTCAGGATTCCAGCTGTATCGTGAGAGGTGGGCGAGAACGGCAGATAAGGAGGGAGATTTAAATGAATACAGACATTAGCCTTTTAGGTGTGAGGACCGAAGAACTAAACAAAGAGGTAGGTGTGTGTGTGTGTGTGTGTGTGAGATGTAGACAAGGTGGGGCGTGTCAGAGTTTGGCGTCATCCATACATTATTAAGAGGCAGCAACGTCCTTCACCTACCGCCGCCCCCCCCCCTTTCCCTCCCCACGACCCCCTCCCCACGACCCCCTCACTCCCTCCCTTCCTCGCCC